GACGGGATCGTCGATGCTCACTGCTGAGGAGTTCCACAAGAGGACGAAGTGGCCGTCCAGTGTTTCTAGGTTTTCCATGATGGTCTAGCTTCAATTGACTCATGATCTCAACTATATAAAATTACTAAAATCTCCGCAAAACCCCCCTTCTGATAAAATCATTTTTTATTTGAAATCACCACCAAGTCATTCTAGACATATTTTAGTGTTATGAGATTATCCTCTAAAAAAAAATCAGTCATTAAATTTCTCTCTCTCTCTCTCTCTCTCTCTAAGGCTTATTTACATGTAGAAGTGGAATGTATAAATTTTTTTAATACCACAGTTCTCTATATCAAATGTGAAGTATATCTTAGAAAATTTAAGAAATTACACTTGTGTCCCTCCATCAGTATCCTATTTTTGTGATTGTTTATCTATGGAATAATATTTTTATTTGTTATTCCTTTATTAAATGATGATATGAAATATTCAAACTATCAAATAACACTCCCAATATATCACAGTGTATCCTTTTCATTAACTCTCTCTATCCATACGTCTATTCGTACATCATCTCTGCATACATTTAGAATGGAATCACAGATGAATATAGATAGATGTAATTCATTTGTTTAGTTTGTTTTTATTTTGTTAGAAATGATATACAATGTTTAATTTTCTTATTAGAACATGTTGTCAATAGATGATATATGTTGATTATAGGCAGATTCTCCTTCATTTTCCCTTTAACAATAAACAAACTGAAACAGATAGAGGAGAAAATGAAAATGGATAAATATATAGGTGAGTATCAAATTACATAAATTGCAGTTGATACTGTGACTATTTACAGACAAAGAATTATGACGGCATTATACTGACATATATATACATTGTTAATTTGATCCCATTTCAGTGCATGTTTATGTGTATGTTAAAGATTTATGAAAGTCAATTATTCAACAGATATTTTAAACAGAATAGTGATAAGAATATAGAGATGACAAAATCAAGACGTTTATATCCCTATTCCTCTTAAATATTTAACCAGATTTGAGTGGATATGAATAATTTCCCTAAGTTGAACTACTCCAGCTACACTATTGCTCAGCTCTGCTTTATGAAACCTAAACAGCTACTTAATGTATAAACGGCCACAGCCTGGATAGTCAGTGCCGTTGTTTAGTGTACTGGGGTTTCAAACTACTTATATTACTGTATCACATATAATGTGCAAAATATATAAATGGATTTAGAGGAAAATTCTAGTTATTGATCAGGTTTGTAATTCACTAATCGATCTATACTGTATAGAAAACGATAAAGTAAATGATTTAAGTGAAAACAAATGGATGCATGACGTCTTCTCTAAAAGCTTAAACACTCTGTAATACTAAATAGGAGTTAAGTACTATGTTTCCACTGGTAAAGCAGCAGATAACCATTTTGTATATCGCTGGTTAGTATCTAAACCACCACCCACGTCCTTTCTGAGTGCAGAACTGTGTAAATTTGAGGCTTCCTAATGAGTTATTTAGTAGTAAACAGTGTCACATTCTATCCTTTGAGATAATAGAATTTTATCAGTCAACATGGGAAGCAGTCACAATCCTAGGAGATTCAATATTTTGACATATCCTTTTTTTATTTTAGTTGGTTGAAGTAAATCGACAGGAAGTTTTTGACCTGGATTTCATGTTATTTGTCACCCGTCATTAAGGCGTATCAGCGATCTCAAACCGACGGACGTTCTCCCTAGGATTTGAACCCTCATCTGTCGCTTAAAATACTGACACGTGGCTTAGTATTAAAGGCTTTAACCAGGTAGTTCCCAACTGGCGCCTCTATGTAACAGAAATTTATTAATACAAGTGAAAAGGAGGGAAAATGAGCAATCAGTGTTTAAAGTGTTTCGATGAAAACATGCATGCAGTAGTTATTCCAAATCGGAGTTGATGGTTAGATAAACTGTACAACCCCCGTTTTGGGTGTCCGACCCTCAAGTTATAATGGGCCGTATGAAAATAAAAATTTTGTAAAAGTAACATAAGTTTTTTAGATTTTATGAACTACTATACTTATTCTATATGTCGCTAACACAGTTTATTTTGTTTTTTACTGTTAGTTATCGTCGTGAACAAATTGATATGGGAAAATAAATTAGTCTGGCGTAAATGTCAAATGAAAAACCACACTAGATCTATGTGTCGCCGTTACTCCAATAAAATGTATAGATTAGTGACCTTTACAAAATTCGGGTAAAATAAAGCGTAATAACACTTACAGTTTATTAAGCATTCCTCTATGAATAATTGAGTTTCAGTAGGCTTGATGCAACTTTTTAAGGTTGGTTTTCTTCTTCCAGAATACTAAGAATAGAATAATGGGCGCAAGTCGCTTAGACAAATAATCTCACAAATCCTGTTTATGGACCCGAAAGACAAGTGGTCATAACATCATATAAATACTTTAACTGTAGCTGCATTTGAGAATAACTAAGAACGATTTCACTATGTCTGAGCCACTAGAAGCGAAAAATCTAGTGTAACTGGAGGAGTTTACAAAGGAACTGAAAAACACCCACCAACAATTTTTAAAGAAATCTATATCCCTGAGTGGATAATCCTAAAGTCTTTAGTTAAAGTATTTCTCTGGAAACTTCTGTCTGTCCATTATGTCCTACGATCACTGAACGTCATCTCGCTTAACAAAAGCTAATGTCCGAAAAGGAATCCAAATGTTAAAGTACTATAGTAAACCCAAATCATCAGCTTACTTCAAGGAGAGAGGCAAAATTTTTATAAAAAGATTTGACTCGTTTCTATAAAATGACGCAGCAGACTAAGAGAGTTAAATCACTCTGATATAATGACGTAATAGATTTTGTTTTCGAAGATGATATGAATAATCTACATGATAACTATTAAGGTGAGGTCCATTAAAAGCTGCTCTAAAATACTGGCCGCTGTCATATTGAGCAAATTATGAGAAATGTATGAAAATAACCCATAAGTAGCGATTTGTGTTTCATTCAGAAGCGACACACTCTCAAGCACTCATCCTCTAGAATGTCGCTACAAATATTGTAGATTAACCACCGTTATATTTTTTTCGACATTATAACTACCTTTAGCAGTAAAAGGTTTTTGCACTGTTTATTCAAGAAGAATTTCTATGCATTTACTAAAATGTTCAAGACCCTGGAGAAAAATTATCATGTGAAGTATGTATGGCCACATTCATTCATTGTTTCTCCTCAATTTCGCCTTCAAAGGTACTTCGAAAACAGTTCTGAAATAAGCCAACAATCAAGAAAATAAGTTTGTATCTACAAATGAAGTCGATTTGAATCATTATCCAGTTGAAATATATATATATAAGAAATGTAAACAAATTATGAATGTGTTATTACAAGTGATTTTTCAAATATGATAGTCATTAAACAAAAAGTTTTAACAGAATAGGGGTTTGTGGAGATTGTAGCAATTTTAATAGTTGAATTCATAAGTCGATCTAGGCTAGATCACCATTCAAAACCTGCAAGCATTGGATGATCATTTAGTCCTAGTATGAGACTCCTCAGCAGTAGGCATTCAGGATCCCGCATATGGGATTCGAACTCAGAACATTCGTTCTCTCACGTGGACGTTTAACCTCTAGGCCACTGAGCAGGGTGGTATTCAGTGGTGTCAATGTCTAAGTTCAATCGATACATGATCTTGTGCAACTATTCATCCATTGTCTAGCTTAGATCGATACATGAATTCAACTATTAAAATAATGTTAGATTTATTTTGGGAGTTTAAAATAGATGAATGAAAATACTGTTTTGGTATAGAAATAAACTAATTAGATTAGTCATGCAAAAAACTCAGTTGCGGCTAAAATACGATATGAGTTTAAAAGTATTAAATAAACCGAATGGAGATTAGTAAACAGGCTAAGAATTCTTTAATTGATTAATCATGTCAATATAAGGCAAAATCTTTCATATTATTAAATTTTCTAAGCAACGCTTTGAGATGCAGATACATACAGCTGACGAGTCCAAAATAGGACGAAACGCGAGTCCTGGATTCCACTACTAGCCACTATCCATCTTTACTTATAAAGCTTGTGATTTCAGGCAATATCGAGGCAGTCCGCATAGGATGCACATATGTCAATAAGAGACTGATTAATCGCAATCCGATATAACAATGGAAAAATACAAGTAAAACAAGTACAAGTGAAATGCTTAAGTAAGTTACTAACTGATTGTTCACACTAATTTATATGATTTACGCTAGTGTTCTTTGACTAGCTCCTATCTTATAGTTACGCGTTTCATGTTTCTTCTCGTTATCACCCATATATATATATATATATATATATATATATATATATATATATATGGAGAGAGAGAGACTAGACTAGCAGGAGTCTTCCTGAGGTCCTCCAATCGTTTGAAAAATACTGATTTGCAAAATTGTCATTATTGACCATTGAGTTAATATATTTTCCTGCTTCACCATTTCAAAAAAGAATCTGTTTCTTCCCTTTTTTTTAACTACCGTTTAATTAACTATAACATATTTAACAATCAGTTATCCACTACAAAACAATATTGGTTCTTGGGGGGGGGGAGGATAGTACTTGAAAAGTGGTAAAGAATGTTCATTGTTGTCTGTTTTCAATTTTGTAATGAAGAAACGATTGTAGAATATATTTTGATAGTTTGATTCGTTTCATTTTGTGATGATAAATAGTGTCTTTAAATTGATCAACCTAACAGCTTACAATCAAAAATAAATTTTAGAATGTATGTTCTATTTCTAATTTGATTACGGTGATATTATGGAAATTTCTTCTACCTATCTAAATCTGTATTATTTTCCCTTTTATAATTATTTCTGTCTTTTAAACATCAAACTTAAATTTATTGTCTTCCCTTTTTACAAACTCTCCCTTTGACTTGTTGAATTTCTCACCAATAGAAAACAATTGATAACGGAAACTATTAGTCTGTACCTAGTTACATTTTGTCATCCGCGTAGGTGGAATTACATATATATACTATTAGAACAACAGATTAATGCAATCACATTATTACATATATACACATCTATTTAACTTATAACAACATCATTCAATATATGAAAGCATAGAGTGACTACTATTAGTTAAGAAATGAAGTAAACTTTTTTCCGATTTCAACTATCAATCACTATGTTATAATGTATATTTAACCATTCAACAGTAGAATTATTAATCTAAACATTGTACCAATTTGATATAGATCGACAATTGAAGTTATAAATCATACAAGTTGCCAAAAAAAATTCCTTTCAAACGATACAGAGAAATAAATGCATAAATGATTATTTGAAATGAGAATGGTTTTTATTGTCGTTATTAATTAACAATTCAGTTGTCATTCTTATTAAAATAATCGAACTGAGTGAGTACTTGATAAACATTTCATATTGTACTCTGGGTAGAAGATTAACAACTAAGCTGATCATTAAGTATTTTATTTAATTATCTAGTAAGTTTCATAACTTTTTACTGCCTTTTCATTATTATTTAAAAATGTTTCTCATAGTTGAAATCATGAGTCAATTGAAGCTAGACCATTATGGAAAACCTGGAAGCATTGGACGGCTATTTCGTCCTATTATGGGACTCCTCAGCAGTGCGTATCCACGATCCCGTCTCACGAGATTCGAACCCAGGACCTACCAGTCTCGCGCGCGAGCACTTAACCGATAGACCATTGAGCCTGCATCCAAAGGTGTTAATGTCTAACTTCAACCAATCCACGAAATTTTTCATATATATAAATTGATGGTAAATTACATTGTCTTATTTATCATTTAGTAACATCAAGAGTATCTAATTTCTCAAATGTAAATTACAATGTAGAGTAGAGACATTGTTAACCGGGTTAGACAAAGGAATTTTATTTACTATTTGACGTATTTTAATTATCATATCTTTGAGTTGGATAGCCTGGTTAGATCATTAGGGTTAGCATTAAAATTATGTGACTTTAAGTTTATTACTACACAAGCGTATGTAAATGATAGTCGGGGTTGAATTGATTTCTTTTATACGAAATATTAGTTATCACGGTAAAAAAGAAAGAGAACTGAAATGTTTATCTCATATCATTTACAACTGTAATTTTCCATGAAAAATGTTCGCGGATTTTAGTAAAAAAATGTCGTTTCAACTGTTGATAGAATAGTGGTAGTTCGTTTAATAACCAATAAGCGTTGGATAATGGAGATTGAAGAAACTTTAATATTTGAAACAATGTTACCCAGTAGACCTGGAGTAATCTATCTAGTACACCATGTATAATACATGACTAATATACATTTTTAAAGATATTTTACTTATATTAATTTAAGTTTATCAAGACTCCCTTAATCTTTTACTATGAAGTGTATGGAATCATAAAGCATAGGTTTTATTCACTTTTCATGTATAATTTATATTCATTTTGAGCAATAATTAATAACATAGTACTGGTGAGTTATTATCATTGTCCAATAATAAGCAAATATTTATTTCAGAAAAGGGTTTTGTGTAGATTATAGTAGTTTAATAGTTGAGTTCATGAATTAATTAAAGCTAGATCACCATGGGAAACCTGGAGGCACTAGATGGCCGTGGGTGCTCACTACTAAGGAGTCCCATACTAGAACGAAACGACCGTCCAGTGCTTTAATTGACTCCTGAATTCAAATATTAGATGCTTATATTTTGACAGTAAAATACAAGATTTCACATTGAAACCTCTGAAGTACTAGTTCAGAATTCACTTAGTATTGTTTGTTTGAATCTTCACATTGATGTTTAAAACTGCAACTCGTCAGTCTCTAATTGGCATATGTGCATACTGTGCTTAGTGCCTCTAATATTACCTTAATTCACAAGCAATGTAAACAGAGATGGATAGTGGCTAGCACTGGAATCCAGGACGCGCGTTTCATCCTATTTCGGACTCGCTAGCTGAATGTACCTGCATTTTAGAGTTGATGTTCACTCTGGGACTCGAACCCAGCACCTTTCGCTTCAAACGCCATTGCGTTATCCACTCAGCTACTGAGTCCTGATAACCACTTTGTTGTGCAATGGAGTGAAGTTTGAATTCACTTAGTATTGTTTGTTTGAATAGTTGGGAATTTCCTATTGATATTTTGGTTAGAGTGTTTGCATCCTGTACATGTTACCTCAATGTAGACAATTATGACAAAGGTTAGTATAGAATAAATGGAATATGGCTCTCAGTACAATCCATGATGCACATTTGGATGTACCTTCATTCTAGAGTCGATGCTCATTCCGAGACTTGAACTTAGTATCGTCCGATTCAAATATCATCTCATTATCCACTTTAATACTGAGTCCAGATAGTTATCCACTTGTGCAATAGTTATGAGTTTTAATCCAATTTACAATGGATTACATTATCTGATTGCTGATGTTTTGATTGAATTTTGAGTGGTTAAAACTATCTATTTAATAAAGAATAGAATTTAACAAAAAACGAAATAGTTCAAAGCCTTAAATGGGCTCTTGTTATCTGAAGTTTCATCAAAGATAAAGTAATGTTGCAAACTACAATAAAAAGGTATGTGTAACTATAGTAAAACTCTCCTCAGCTTATAAATATTTTTTGTAATTCATTAACCAAAGAAATATCATACTTCACATCACGAATTGACCTTTGTTAAATAACTAAGAAGCAGCGAACAATTGTTTAGTCATAAGTCAAAAATCAAGTACAATGACCATTCAAAAAGCCAGAAATCAACAGCTTCACAGCGAGCGCTTAACATTACGACCACTGAGCTGGTCTCAATTGGTTAGCATTGTTAATTATAATAAATTTGTGATAATACTCAATTATCATTCGATAATAGTGTCATATCAGATATCACACATTCATTGGTTACTGATTCTCACGAAAACGCTAATATTTGCTTCTCAAAGTTAGTCACTAGTGAATACACGATTAATATTAATGTAAGGATTATGTAAGGTTGTGATATAAGATGACACATTTGAAATTCTACCAGTCATTTATTGTTAGTAGGATCATTAAATTTGAAGAGTCAAAACATTGTACTGATGTTGTTAATTCAGAATAATAATGAAAGTTTCCCGATCGAACCATTCAGTTCAGAGAATAAAAACTTAATCAAAATCATTCTAACTGAACTATAAATCTTATTCATGATCTTAAATATAATTTAACATTATTTAAATAAACCAATAAAATTAACATTGTGTTCGTATCTCGTGAGGCAAGATCGTGGATTCGCACTGCTGAGGAGTCCCACAATAGGACGAAACGGCCATCTAATGCTTCCAGGTTTTCCATAATGGTCTAACTTCAATTAACTCATGATTTCAGTTATTAAAATTATATTTTATTGTTTTAATCAATTACAATTAATATTTGAATAAATTAATTTTCAATATTCCATAATTAGAATTTTAAAATAATGAATAATCAGAAGGGGTTTTGTGATTTCAGTATTTTCATAAGTGAAAGTTTGATTCAATTGAAGCTAGACCACGATGGAAAACCTGGAAGCATTGGACGGCCGCGTCGTCCCACTTTGGGTCTCCTCAGCAGTGCACATTCACGATCCTACCTCGCGAAGTTCGAACCCAGGACCTACCAGTCTCGCATGGGAGCACTTAATGGATAGATCAATTAGCCGGCATTCAATGGTGTTAATGTATAACTTCAACTAATCCACGAAGTTGAGCAACCGTTCACCAATTGTCTTCAGTGAGTTGTTATTTCACAACAGAAGTGGTTGAACTCCACTGGTCACCGCTTCTCACTAGATTTCCAGGATATACCTCTTGAAGTCAGTCACTAGTGAGCATAGGCTCTAGTTTCAATTGACTCATGCTTTCAACTATGAAAATAATGAATGGTGTTTTATACTTAATTGAAGTTTAATCTTAATAGTTAATTGTACAAAAATAGAATTACATTTATCAGAGTTTATACATTAAAAAACTTGTAATTATAATTATATATAACTTGTTCATTCTTATTTTATATCCATTTTTAAAAGCTTTAGTTAGTTATAATTAGATCAAACAGATTTTTGAATAACTAATTCATGTTTTAATTAATGTCATGAATGCACCAATGTTAGACTACCATTGAAAACCTGGAGACCGAATGTCCTGGGTTGTAGTCCTGTGTGCGAGGTCGTGGACTTACACTTCTGATGAGTCGTATACTAAGAGGAAATGGGCCGTTCAGTGATCCCAAGTTTCTAATGATGATCTAACATTGATTCATTCATGATATCAATCTAAACTCAACAATCTCCACAACCCTATACTGATAATTCATGTTTTTTTTCTGAAATTGAAAGTTTAATATTACGATCTTAAACCGTTCTATTTAAAGGTGTAAGCTTAAAATAAAATTACTTTTAATTCAAAAAAAAAAAGATTTTACCATTTGAATACTTCTTCATATAAATTATCTTACAAGCTTTCTTGACCTTGTTCTTAGAATTTTTAATAACTCTGTAGAACTCCACAAATTACCATTTAACACATCGGTTTTGACTAGAAAAAATTAATTTATAACTCAATCTAAAAGTAAACATAGGTGAATTTTCAGAAATAGTCAATAAAATATGAACCCACATTATTATATACTGCACATTAGTTTCTCTGATATCAATGTGAAATATTAACGAATCAACATGAAATATTCATATTATGATAATTTATTATAGGGTAATTAAGGGCGTGAAATGTCGACTAGGTATGTTAGAAACCCATGGATAAAACAAAATATGATTGAATATTTCAAATAAATAACCAAATAGATTATTTATAAAACTAATGAGTTTAATGAAAGAAACTGATGGTTTTTTAATATTTTAAAGATTCAATACATTGAAAAGTGAAGGTGAATGCTTACTGTTAATGTTAAGTCAGCTTACAGTAAACTCTATCAGAACCTCCAGAGGCTCATAAAGAGCCCAACCAATAAGCGATTAGTTAGAAGCTATGCTACTAAAATAACGTGGTCTGAAATTATTTACAGAGAAGGGTCAATATTTGTGTTGGATTCGTTATATTAATAGATTAACCATTAGAGTATAACAGGTATAACACTAATTAGTTATTGATTATTTGACAATACACCTGAAAAATGTTATACAGATCAACGGTATTCCTTTGTTTTTTTGATATTTATCATGCTAATTGTAACATTGATATTCAAAATGATTAACTTTTCATTATTACTCTCTGTATTTAATAACACAAAGATGGAAAACATTGACTGTAGAGCATAAAATTGTTTGAACATACCTTAAATTAATTAGTCTTTTTTTTTATAATAAAATTTGATAAAACTATCCCTTGGAAAGAATATGTGTAATCAGATTGTTTTAAATAGATAGCCCAAATACATTGCTTTGCTTAGATTAATTCTATTTTCTCACTGCTCTATCGGAACATACTTTAATTTAAAAAATATGTTTATGGTGTCCTGAATAAGCTTTGAATCTGTTATCGTTCATATTCACTTTAGCTTCTCATAAAGATTAAACCTAGAATTTCTAGGTTAAGTGACGAGCAAGTTTATGTTGACTAGATAGATCAGAAAATAGAATATGACATAGAATTCCATTCTTACTGTTAACAACACGACACGTAATAAATGTTATACATTAAAATTATTCAGTGGTCGAGTGGATAACGCGATGGCGTTTGAAGCGAGGGTACTGGGTTCGAGTCCCAGAGTGAACACCAACTCTGAGATGCAGGTACATCCAGCTGATGAGTCCCAAATAGGACGAAACGCGCGTCAAGCTGGATTCCACTGCTAGCCACTATCCATCTCTGCTTACCATGCTTGTGAATTAAGGTATATCGAGGTAATACGCACAGTATGCACATATGCCAATTAGAGACTGACCAGTTGCAGTCCTAAACACATCGATGGGAAGATCCAAACAAACAATACTAAGTGAATTCATTAAAATTATGGTTTAAGATTTGATCAATAATTTTATGTCATTCCGTTTTATTTTGCTTCATTGTATCTTCATCACTTGAAATGTACCTATCTTGTGACTAGTATTTTGTATACATGTGAAATTTGAACAAATCCAAAGTCAATTATCGGTTCCTTTGATTGAAATAAATCTTCGAATGTAGTATACATATGTATTCTAATTATGATGGGTAAGATATAGAGAAATGATACAATTTCAGATACTTTAAAAACAGATTACCATGACAGTATATATGTATATATTACACATTGTTTGGTTCTACTGTCATTTTACGTATCTATGTCTTTGTAACAATTGTTACGTATACTACTTTACAAATGATGATATGAACATCCACTATGTGTATAGGTAATTTGATTCTGAGTATAAAAAAAAATAAACCTTATTTCTTAATTTTTTTGCGATATGTGCACATATGTTTCAGAATCAAATTACAATTTTTACTAATCGGATTTACTGAATATTAGTAATAAACAGTAGTTAATTAGGATCATTTGTTGTCAATATGATGATAATGATGTTTACGGTGTTGCTGCTATCAGCGATGATGATGATGACGATGATGACAAGGGAATTGATAATTGAATTTACACAACCCTGATTCTTTCTACCAACTTTAAACAGATGACAGTAATCAGTGATTACATAACTGAAGTTTAAACTTTGCCATTAGTTGTTACGCTTTGAAGTGACAGATTACAATCCATATGTGTTACAGTTTCATATATATATATATATATATGCAAAGGAATGTGTAATAGATTACTTAAAGTATTAGAGGAACTACTGAACAACGATACTCATGATTAATTTGACTTTATTTGTAATGATAATTAGTGAAGTCTATAATGACATATGATATCCATTTTTTTCTTCTCATTTGTATAATTAGGTACATTCATAACTACTTACAAACTGAATATAGTTTAAAATGGATAAATCAAAAAATAATTTGTCCAATTATTCTTTTTTACCATTATGAATGAGCAGAGTTTTACACGCTACCATCTTTCAACTAACTCAGATGAATATCAAGAGAATAATAATGATATTGATAATGGTTGTCCATTTGATAATGACTCATTTTTAGAATATCAGTCAAATAACAGTTCATCATCATCATCATCATCATCTTATGTCAATTATGAACTACAAAGTAAGAACTGCGATTCTGATGAAATTCTTGATTTGAGAATGCATAAAAACAAAATCTTTGACACTTGGCCATCAACAACAATATCGTCATCTTCTTCCTTTCACTCGTTATTTTCCACAAATATGAACCATGATAATGATCAGTGTAAAATATCAAATTCAGTACCATTGAATAATGTAACTGAAATGAATGAACAACGACATATTGATGCCTTATTTAATCATCATTTCACTTCACCATTATCTTCATTACCAAGCACTACTACTACTACTACCACTAATACTACTAAGTTGAATACATTTTCAACTTCTTTAACATCGTCAGTATCATTTGAAAAATTAACACAAGCAATAACCACTTCTGATATGAGTTCTATGAATAATTTAATAGATTTTACCACTACACTATCAAAAACTATTCATACATTATCCAAATATAATTATTCTAAATTAAATGAAAAACAATTGTCTAATGTTAAACATTTAATTAATCATGAATTCCAGTTAGATAAAACAAATTTCCTATCAAACTTCCCATATTATCTTTATCGAATTCTTTCTATATCGAATATAATTCCTACTATTCAACAACAACACCACCACCACCACCACCAACAACAACAACATCAAGAACGACAATACCGTAATCCTTCTTCATCATCTTCAACATATCCTCTACAAAATAATACAAATATTTCATATTCATTATTGAAACCATGTATAAGATCTCCTAATATAAATTCAATAAATCAACAATGTACAACATCATTTCAATTATCAATTAATTTTATAAATTGGTATCATCAATTTATACAGAATTTATATCAGTTATTATTAAAACAACAATTGAAACCATCCCCACCACCACCACCATCATCATCATCATCACCACCACAACAACAACGACAAATTGGTCACCAACAAAATTATCAAACAAATGAATTCGATAAAAAATATTCTTTGAATTTAAATTCATTTAATTTACATTTAGATAAAGAGAAATATAATCAAAAGATTAATTATTTAATGGATAATATGAAAATTGATAAGCATGATACTTCAATATATATGATGAGAAATGAAGAGAAGAAAATTTCTAATATTCAATCAAATCAAGGTGAGGATTGTAATATATATACATATGTATAACGTTAACCGATAGACCACTGAGCTGGCATCCAACGGTGTTAATGTCTAACTTCAACTGATCCACGAAGTTGAGCAACCATTCACCAATTGTCTTCAGTGAGTTGATATCTCATAACGGACGTGGTTGAACTGCACTGGTCAATGACTCATGATTTCAACTTTGAAAAATACTGAAATCTCCACAAATCCCCTTCTAAAGATTTCATATTAGTTGGTACATTATTGCAAGCTATATCAGTAATATTATGAGAGAAATGATAATTCCTGTAAGATTTAAAATTATGTAACAAAGTTTTTAATTCGTTTCAATAGAATCTGATTAACGCTAAAGAACTTAACAAACATAAGTGAGACTAAAGTTTATGGATGAACTTTCAGCGGCGTAACAACGTAACTTATTGAAAATCTTCAAACTCTTAACCTATAGTTTTCTGAAATCATCACCTTCCCGTCTGCCTCCTTCATTATTGATCTACCACTTACTGACTTAATTTGTTTTCATACCCTCTCTTATTACATTTCAAATTGATTTCAACATTATATATTATCATATGACACAATCATTTTTTTTGTATCACAAGGGGGTTTTGTGGAGATTTTAGTAATTTTATATAGTTAAAATCATGAGTCAGCTGAAGCTAGACCACCATCGAAAACCTGGAAGCATTGGACGGCCTTTTCGTCCTATTGTGGGACTCCTCAGCAGTGCGCATCCACGATCCCGCTCTCGCGGGATTAGAACCCAGGACCTACCAATCTGGATGCCGTCCAGTGCTTCCAGGCTTTCGATGGTGGTCTAGCTTCAACTGACTCATGATCTTAACTATATAACATTTTTTTGTAATTATTATTCATCATCTAACGTTTATGAAATTTATGATGAATATTCAAGCTCCTATTAAATATATTTTCACTTTTTAATAATTAGAATGACATGTTTATGTGATTTTGTTACTATGTTCATCAAGTTATCATTCCAAAAAATATACATTTATGACTATACAACTTTATGAATGAATTTAACGAAAAGAGAACTTTTTACTGAACCAATTGTTATTGTTTTTAGATTTCAATTATTTAAAATTCACTTAGTTTTGTTTGTTTGAATCTTCCCAATTGATGTTTAGAACTGTAATTTGATCAGTCTCTTATTGATATATGTGCATACTGTACGTTTTGCCTTGATATCGCCTTAAATCACAAGTATATTTGTTTGAAAAAGCTTGGACCAGATTGCCAGGCGAAAAGGTTGAATTTACTTTAAATTCACTTCGCTGAGATTTTACAATTATATTATTCTGTTGGGGCACATGTAGAGTTTCTGATTGGCTGATTACTACACTCTACTATGTTTAGTAGCACATCAGAATTTTCAGGAAAACTCAAGGATTTCTAAAATACTATAAAAATTCTATATTTTCTGTACATAAATGAACCTTTGGAGTAAAGTGCTTCCCTCACATATTTTGCGCCTTTTCTCTTGTGTTCAAGTCGCTGTGTAGCTGTAGCTTAGGAGTTACGAGACTAGCTTAGGATCCGAATATAGCGTTCAATCAGCAAGACTTATCATATTCCTATTTAAATTTCTTTTTATTTAATAATTTGTTGTTTTTTTTTCCTTTTTTTCCTTTTTTGTTTTAGATGAATTACCTATTAATTCATGTTCAGAAAAATGGATAATTTTTCAAAATCAATCATCAAATATTTTATCGGAAAAATCTGATTTTTCTAAATTATTAAATAATAATAATAATAATAAAATCAATACAAAATTCATTCAAAATAAAACGAAATTATCTTATTCTATTAATCCCCCCTACTCTTCCTCTTCCTCCTCCTCCTCCTCATCATCATCATCATTATTGAATCCATTTTATTATTATAAAAATATTTATCATTATTATCGTAATCAACAATTTATTAATAATCGTATTAAATATAAATTACAATTACATAATAATAATAATAATAAAACTACCAATTTATTATATCGTTTATATCAATGTCCACATTGTAATAAAGAATTTCCACGTTCAGCTAATTTAAATAGACATTTACGTACACATACTGGTGAAAAACCATATCGTTGTGAATATTGTCAAAGAGGTTTTAGTATATCATCTAATATGCAACGTCATATTAGAAATATACATCAACGTGAACGTCCATTTATATGTACTATATGTAAAAGAGCATTTGCTCAAAGAACTAATTTAGATAGACATAAACGTAATCATTGGTTACATAATTCATAAATTTAAAAAAAAAATTTAAAAAATAATAAAAAATTAAAAAAAATTATTTTTATTTATTCAATTTCAATTAAACATTGAATAAATTATTTTCTTGATTTTTTTTTGTTTTTTTTTCTGTTACTCATTTTTGATTGGTGGAATTTTAAGATAATTTTCTGAAAGTTTTATTGTTCATATGGTTCATGATATTTTCCTTTTTTTAAAAAAAAAGAAGAAAAAAGTAAAAAATAAATTCTAACAAAGAATGTTGATTTTTATTTACCTTCACTAATAGTTTTAATAATAAATTAAGGGGCGAGACTAGAATTTATGGACGAGCCAATCAGAAGAGTTTGAGGGATTTCAAGGTCACACCGCCAATTTCAGTATCTGATGCTCATGTACGATCGGTTCACAGAGGATTTTAGAGAAGATTTGACAATTAAGCGAATACAACAAATGAGACTACTAAGAAGTTCTTGTATTTGTAATTACAGGTATTAAATGACTTGTAGACTTTGTGCAGACTACCGTGATGTTGACCTTCGATGTAATATATGTTGAAGGAAGATGTTTGCTAGAAAAGGAACCTTTATCGCTCTATCTAGATCGATTCATATTATAATAATTGCCGCGAACTGTATAATAAAAGCACCAGTAACATTGGTTGCAATAATCGCAGATGTTACTGAATCTTCGGCTGTTCAGTGGTATGAGTATTGTACGGACATATCCATAATAAAAACGATGAACTTACACAACCGGAGTACATATAAACAATAATGAAGCTATGTGGTCGAGGCTGTGAGGGTTTTTATTACCTTAACATGACTCCAGAGACAGACCATTATGGAGCCATATGGATGAGTTCGTCTACCATAAGCATTACGATTTTAGAACTTTTGAACCTCTTTCTAACCTTGACAAGTTTTTTGGACCATGTAATAGAAGTGTACCCACTTTAATTCTTTAGTGTTGTATAATATATTTTTACTCTATACTACCTGTCTTCTGATTAGCTAATATTTCTCAAGGTCACTTAAGATTCATTCAAAGGTCATCCATAAATTATGGTCTCGTCAATTAAGATTATTCTCAATAGGAATTATGTATCATATTCTATACATCTTGTTTATTTAATGAGTAAATGAAATGTATTCAATTATATTTGAAATGATTTTTTTTCTTTAAATTTCCGATCAATCTTATTGTGTTACATGGAATATACCTATGGTAAACTTATATTCCATAAGATCATTTGTGAACTAAAGACTTTGCAAATTATTGTAATTAGCTAAGCATAATGTATTTATATGTCGATTTGTGAAGTATTGCGATTATGGGAGTTTAAATTTTTTTTTAGAAAATCACTATTAACTTTTTATACACTCTGAAGGTAAACCCTAAAATAGATGACTTAGTTATTAGAAGATGGATAATTTTATGCAAGGAACACAATTACTATACATTGAAATAACATAATTCGTATTAGCATCACAAGCGAACAAACAATGATCAGCGATATATTCAATGAATTATACGAGTATTCACAAATCTTGCAATCAAAAGAGCTCAATTTGAAAATGGGATATTTTCGAGCATATAACTTAAGCGTAAATAAGTTATATTATTTAGAAGTGTTTATATAATGAGAACTGACCTCTTTATTTTTATATTTCAGGTTGTACCCCGTTCTAAAATAAACCTGTTAGTTAGATATTTGAGAATTCAATTCTTTTGGGATTTTTTGATTGAGATCATGAATCGATGAATGTTAGACCACCATTGAAAACCTGAAAGCATTGAATGACTGTTTCATTCTAGTATGAGGCTTATCGACAGTGAGTGTCCACGATCCCACATATTGTACTCGAACTCTGGATATTCCGTCTCCAATGGTGGCTTAACATTGATCCATTCATTATATCAATCTAAACACAACAATCTCCACAACCCTATACTGATAATTATCATTCGCTCACTAGTGATCAGATTCAACATCGATCTCATGTAGTCCTAGTGAGAAGCTGTGACCAGTGGAGTTCAATCGGGTCAGTTGTGAGACATTCACTAACAATATGATGGATTGGTTGAAGTTAGACAATAATACCGTGGGATGCCGATCGACTGAGTGGTGTATAAGTTAAGTGTTGACACAAGTGAGACCGAATGTCCTGAATTGAAGTCTCACGTGAGAGATCATGAGTGTGCATTGTTGAGGAATCTCATACTAGAACAGAACGAACATTCAATGCTTTCAGGTTTTCGATGGTGGTCTAACATTCATCGATTCATTATCTCAATCTAAACTCAACAATCTCCACAATCCCACATTGATATTTCAGAATGAATTTTCATTTCAAAATAGTATCAATTTATAAAAAGCTTGAAATTATCTAGTATGAATAGACAGATTCTAGACAACTATATAGTACCTCATTACTGCTTTACTAATCGAAACAAAGATTTATTCTAGAAGTATACGTCATTAAACTTCAGAATTTCGAAACTTCCCAACGAAACTATCCAATTGGTAATCAGGTAAATAAAATTGTACTAAGCGGAAAAGTATTTAAATCCTCTCTTACTTATTAATATATAAACTATAGAATATTTCAATGAAAGTATCAATACAATTTAGTTTATTTACTTATTAATTTATTTTTATATAAACTAAACAGAAAATTAAGCTATTGATGTTGAATGATAAAAATTGACGTACTGACATATATCGAACTTTTTATATAATTGAAATCATGAGTCGATCGAAGCTAGACCAACATGGAAAACCTGGAAGCACTAGATGGTCTAGTGGTTAAGCGCTCGAGCGCAAGATTGATAGGTTCTGGGCTCGAATCTCGTGGGGCGGGATCGTGGATGCTCACTGCTGAGGAGTCTCATAACAGGAAGAAACGGCCGTCCATTACTTCCAGGTTTTCCATGGTGGTCTAGCTTCAATTGGCTCATGATTTCAATTATATAAATATTAAAATGTTTCAAACTTAACGTTGTTTAATGATGTCTTGTCTCCAGTTCTTCTTATTATGATTTTCAGTCTCCTTTCGAACGTTTGTCTAAACTTCATTAACTGACGTATGTGAGACCTAAGTCGAAAATTAGATTACTCTGTATAATTTTAAATTATTTCCAGTTGATGAGAAGACTTGAGACAGCGTGAATTCATTTTATCCTTCAAAATTTCTTTTCTTTTCTCTGTTCAAATTTCTGAAGCAATCTAATGGTATGGAAATCCACTGGCTTGCCTAAAAAGAGTTATTATTTTTCATACAATACAGAATACAGGCTTTGATCGTATGGCTTCAAGATCCAAATACAGCAACTTCCTTCAACTGATATTTACCAAGATTTATCTGTCAGGAAATATAATATGAGTGATAATCTTTATACTAAAATTGATCGTTTAACATAACAGGAAACATTAGTTTATACTTATTTGAAAGATATGTACCCAAGTGTTTATTGTACATTTTGTCAGTTCTTTCAATTACATCATAACTATTTAAACGATGTGTTGTTAAATGATTAATTGTCTCAGACTATAAAAGATTATGGCCATGCTAAACGAATGTTAAATCAATTACTGTTATTAGACAATGAGAGCATGACAATTAGATTTATTTATCACTACTCCATGGACATCTTATGCCGCATTCCTACAACTGAAGAACATATGGAACTCAAAAAGACTTTCAACCAATGCCAAAGTTTGAATCTTCAATACGAATATCAAGACAGTCCTACTATACGGCAATAAAACTTGGAGAACTATCACAATCATCATCAAAAAGGTACAACTACTTCTAAACAGTTGTCTATGCAAGATACTCCAGATCTGTTGGCCGGATACCATCAGCAACAACCTACTGTGGGAGAGGGCAAACCAGCTTCCAGCTGAAGAGAAAATTATAGAAAGATGTTGAAATTGTATAGGAAATACATTACGGAAATCGCCAAACTGCATCATGAAGCGAGCTCTCACTTGGAATCCTGAAGGGATATGAAAAAAAGGAAGGGTGAAGGACACACTACGTCGAGAAATGGAAGTAAATATGGAAAGGACGAATAGCAACTGGAAAAAAAACTGGAAAGGATTGCTCAGGACAGAGTTGGATGGAGAGTGTTAGTGGGCGGTCTATGTTCCTCCACGAGGGATAACAGCATTAAGTAAGTAAGTATGGACATCTTATCTTCATCAATATTCTACAATTAAATACATTGATTATTATAAGGATGGTTTGAAATTGGTTTAACGCTGTATAAAAAAATGCGTCAATGAACGAAGCGTTTGTAAATAAAAATGGATCAATTTTTTAGTTTAAGAAGGCCTAAATGATATTGAGTTTTCGTTGTGTAGAACATTTGATTCCTATCAGACCAAGTAATCAATTTTCCAGACGCCAAGCAGTTTGACTTGCATTTTCTGGTACAGATTAATCTCCGTAGTTATTGTTAATTTTATCTCAGTATCTAACAAAATAATGGAGTTATGCACCGAAAACCAGGATCCAAAATAAAGGTTTGCCTATTGATCATTCGTACTATGATTACAAAAATTATGCCAGAAGCAGTTGCTAACCTCAATTTGTGAGGTGTCTGAGATGTTTAATGTTTAGTTTTATACAGAAAAAAATCCTTCTCAAAATAATTTTACTATCAAAAATCAGAAATATTTGAAAACAATCATGATGGACATTGAAAACACAGTTCACGGAAACTGTTGCTCTTGAACAGTAGTCCAATTTTTACAGGAAACTCAAAAATTAAGCGCAATGTCGAGAATTTGAAATTACAGGAATAAGGGAATATGATATCACGAATTTATGTTCATAGAGACTTGGGAATGTCACATTAAAGCAAAGAAGCATGATATGTCATGTTTTGGAAATGACGACAAATGAAACTACTTACTACATATTACTAAGTAGTATGATTTAATACACAAAAGATTATTGAATAAGAACGAATTAAGATCTGAGCAGAATAAACAGTTTTCTCAGTTAATTAGTACATTCTTACTGTTATTTTAGAAGGAATATAGTACGTTTACCTTTTAGTGAATAAATTTTTTGACCATGAGAAACATAGATAAGAATTCATTATATATATAGAATACATTTGCTTTCCAAGTCTTCAAAGAGTAGATTACGTAAAATCATTTATACTAATTCGGTCAAAATTTCTTCGTGGAATTCATTTGGTAAAACGTTTAATTTACCTTACATGACTTACTAAAAATCATAATTATTGATTTGAGAGTGCTAAATAACAAACAGACATTCAGTGTCAATATTATATTGTAACAGCTAAAGCTGTTACATTCTCTTCTACTAATCAAACAAACACAATGTCTCTTAACAGAGAAAAAATTCCATGATGGTCATAGTTAGAAAACAAAACTTGGACATGAATATCTCCACATGGATAAACACTGCACTTTCTAAAAGAAATACTCTACTTTGTGTATGCAAACAGACTGATTTAACTAGGTGAATGACAAACAGATATGATGAGATAATAGTGATCTACTTTAATGATGAGAACACGATTAGTATAGTGAAAACAATTATTATTATAACCAATTTTACCAGCGATTGTTTTACTGTACCCTTTTGTATACGTGTACAAAACACACACTTTCTTCCATTGTCAGTGATCTTGTACGAACTCGCATACACTCGGTAGTTCCGCTTGTAAACTTTGGCACGATCTCGTTATTATTTCCATACCACAAGATCTCCAACAAATATATCTTATTGCAACTATCAATTGCCTTCTGGTTTTTGGACTAAGGAAGGATTCAACGTAATACCTGGCACATAAGCTTCCTGTAATGTTGATCATAGTCAATCGCGACTCGATGCCTAATACAAGATAAAAAGGCAAAATTACATTTCTAACTTATTGTAATTCTTGTCCCAAATTACTACCGTTTTTTAATTCAATGTGATAATCATTCAATGTAATCATGAGTCAGTTGAAGCTAAACCACTTTGGAAAACCTGTAATCACTGGACGGCCGTTTTGTCCTATTGTGGGACTCCTCAGTAGTGCGCATCCACGATCCCGCCTCGCAAGATTCGACTGACTAATTCAACTGACTCATGATTTCAACTATGAAAAATACTGAAATCTCCATAAAACCCCTTCTGATTCATCGTAATATTTAGTTTTATTTTCAGAATATTTTACTCAGTACAGTATTGATTTCCTTGAATATGATGTCTATTCAACATATGATTATTCTTGTGTCATAATAATGTGAACGATGCTCAACACGAAATCAAGTGTGTAATTTTACTAATTAATAATCAACATGTGTACAACTCAATATAAAATGGAATGGATTTTCGATTAAAGGGGTTGTAGTGTCGGTTGATGTGTTAAGCCTATATACCCTATATACCCTTATTCTAGCATCATTTTTGTGGGGGCTAGGATCTGACTCCAATTAGATCGTATGAATGGTTGATTGTCAAAATAGATACATCCTGTCTATTCTCGTATGCAAATGAATGACTTAATCCGCGTTGATGATTAACGGAGTTAAATAAGTCAAATATGAAAATGGATTTAGAATGATTTGGTCAGGAAATCAGAGGGATGAAGCTGATAGAAGAGAGTGAAGCGAAAATGATGCGCATTGGAGATGGTGGATAAGCCAACTTGCTTTTATCAAGCGTTAATCAATATTTATTGTCAGATGAGAATAGGTTACAGACATGTGATGAATAAGATAAAAATTGTATAACCAGGGTTGTTAAGTGAATAATTAACAAGGTCAAAACGTGACTCAAGATGGATAGGTAAATTTGCTTGTCCAGAAGCCAAAATAAGGTATATGAGCTTAACATATCAACCGACACTAAAGGGTCATTGTATTTATTTTGGAGTCAATTGACCTTCAATTGTATCAATCTTTTATGCTTTTACTTTTTGTTGTAGGAACTGTAGTGGTTCCTTATCTCAAGTATAGAAAATAAGCAGCGTGAATATAACACAGATTGTTCTTATAACGAACAACATATAGTCAGTTTTTAAGATATAAGTCTAGGTATATTGTTATTTCATATTGCTTCATACATTCTTAATTTTCTAACATGTGAAATAAGTGAAGTAGTTACGTATATTATATAACTTACGATAGACCACAACATACCGTCAATAAATGATTAAGCTTCAGTATATGTCTTATACATATTAACTTTTTTCAACTTTATAAAAAGGGGATATGGCCTGTCCTATATTTATCAGAGGATTAGAATAATACTTTATTATCTTTCTGTTGATGAGACCTGGAGAAATTCTCAAGAACTCCATGAAACATTTAGGACTATTTACTGAAGATAATACACTAAAGAAGATAGCTCTTTTCAGGTAAATCAGAAATGTAAATAAAAGGGATAAAAACTGTAAGCCTTTTGCAAGGCCAGGACGACCGCTAACCTTCAATATTGATGAATACATCGGATATGTATTTTCTTTTGTGCTTGTTAATCACCAGTTTGCTGTTCGAATGACTGTTGATTCACTGGTTTTGGAAAAGTCATCTGGCTACACGGTTCTATCAAAATATTGCGGAGAACGACTGAATATAAAATGAAGAGACAGCTGGAGTGCCTAACTTCTGTTGACTCTTAGGGGTGTCTTGGATAACAGAAGTGGAGGTAAACAAGTTTACTGGCACGTGTAAAGATAATTTTGAAGGGAATACGATTATAGTACTTTAGATTCTATAAACCGAATAATTGCAACCCTAGTTTTCACATTTATTTGCCACAGAAGAATGTCAGGTTGTATGTTGAATAACAGCTTACAAACTAGTCTAGTTCCCTCCTCATATAATTTCTTGACATATCTATTGGTCCCCTTATTCAATACTATCTGACGAAAAGTGAGTCACATATGTAAGAGATTTGAATTATTTCGAAAAAATTTCAAATTAATAAGTTTTTAAGGTCAGATCATTTAACCACATCGGTTGTGTTACTCAATATATCGAAGTTATTTTCACACACGAACCATGGATTAATTTTGACCCGTTGTTACACTCAGGGATTAGTTATATCTTTAAGATACTCGAAAATATTAAAACGTGGACATAGCATTCTCAGCATTTCGGCAGGTTTCGAAAATCCAGCTATAGTAGTTTGGGTCTCAATTGTACCAAGTATTATTAACGCCTATTAAATTTTTGTATTCTGTGTTTCTCTTCTATATGTCTTAAAATATCTACACCCCTAAACCCTTTGATATTTGATTTATTGGAGCTACTAACCTTACGGTTACTTCATGCAAATTTACTGGCTCTGTTATTTCCTAGAGAATTACGCCATTCCTGAGAATACTAAACTTGGATATACCAGCTCTATTTTACCAGATATAGTAGTAAAGCAGGTCTCTAAAGTCTGATTCTAAAACACGTTACAACACTTTAAAGTAAACACGAATCAAAGTGGCAGCTTTGTCTGACCAATAAACAATCTACCAATTCCTTAGTAATGTAGAATTTAAAGATAGAATGCCACCTTAGCTAAGGAGGCATATAAAGTTTTATTAGAAAACCAGCATACTATTGGTTGACTTTTTCACTAGGTATCACTCTGCAGACTGTCACAAATTATGCAAAAGGTCTTAGAACTTAGATGTTTAGATTTAAAAATAAGTCAGTAAGGGATATTCCCAGCTACATATATGACAAAATACCTATTACGATAGGTGCTGTCACTTAGGAGCTGCAGGAAAATCAAGTAGCCATAATGGAAAGCAAAATTTAAATTTCGGTAATAAAACATGACACTATTTGATCTGAGGGAAAGCATGCAAAGTAATTTCTGGAAAATCACGATTTATCTCTCCAAGGGGGACCAGCAAGGACACAATGCCCCTGCCAATTTTTGAGAATGCTAAAAATTTAAAGATGAAGTGATGCGGACAAGTTGTATATATATATATATATATATATATATATATATATATATATATATATATATATATATATATATATATATATATAATCGCTCTGTAAGTAAACCATTGACATCTATGAAGGATAAAAACATCGTTTACAGTTGAAGCCATTGGATGCAAACAGTTAACACTAATAAGTTACTTGAACCTACTAGTAGTTACTTTACTTTCTCACTGGTACTTAGTCACATGGTCAACTTGTTATAGCATAGCTTAACTTTATGCATTGCTAATAATCGCAGCGTTTAATGACCATTTGGCATTCGTAGTAGTATATCACGTTTCTATGCTTCCATACAGTCAGACACCGATATCTGATTTGAATAAACTAAAATAGAGAAAAATTAAGGTTGTTTGTTTTAAGAAATAAATACACAACTTATTTTCCTAATGACTTAAAAAAATTGACGTAGAAGCTGACATAGATAATTTTGGGGCTTAAGAAAATAATAATGTCTATAAATGTTACGTCAGACCTTGATAAATATCGGACGAAATCAAGAATTTCATGAAATAACGAGTCAGAAATCACAAAATTAATTTTCAACTTTATGGACGTTCTAATTTGAAAATTGTTTAAATCAGTCACTTGTCTAAATCTTATTGGCCTATAAATGGCTTTCTTTTCTAAGGGATCTTACGTAGTACGCTCTCTTTAGTCCCGGACGCTATCAGCTTGTTAGTCTGTTTCTAGGTGAGTCATGTCTGGAAGGGGCAAAGGTGGAAAAGGTCTTGGAAAGGGAGGAGCCAAGCGACATAGGAAGGTGTTGCGCGACAACATACAAGGTATTACGAAGCCTGCTATTCGTCGCCTTGCTCGTCGTGGAGGTGTGAAGCGCATTTCTGGCTTGATTTATGAGGAAACTCGTGGTGTGTTGAAAGTATTCCTAGAAAACGTTATTCGTGACGCCGTCACATACACGGAACATGCCAAACGAAAAACTGTAACTGCTATGGACGTGGTGTATGCTTTGAAACGCCAGGGTCGTACATTGTACGGTTTTGGTGGCTAAATCTGACATGTGGATTATTGGTATAGCTCCACTGCCCTGTTTAGGGCTAACATTTTGATGTATATACTGTTACTTTTCATTTGCTTACTATTGTCATTATATCTTGCATTCACAAGTTTGTTTTAAGACTTGACATCGATTTGTGATCACTTATAGTTGGTGTACTAGCTCAGTATGTCGGACAGTATGTTGAACTTTATTTCAGCCTATTAGCTACTGTTTTAAAAGATTCTACATATATAAGATTAACATCCCCCTTAGACCCCGTTCAGTCATGTGCGTGATGTATTCGTCACTAGGCCTAATTATCGTTCATGATTACTTGAAAAGTGAGTTTGCCTCATGACAATTGCTTCCGTGTTCATTGTATATGACATATTCGGTGTTCTTAGGGGTTATTTCATAAAATTGTTGGGAGAATGTGTGCTCTCCTAGGCAGCTTTCTGAAAAAATCTGTTGAGTAAGTGGTCATCGTGATGGTGATACTTTCACTGATTAACCTGGTTGTGCGTTTGTTGCTTGTGCTTGGGTAGTACTGTTGTTTCGGGTAGCTAGCTTCCGATCGCTCAAGGTTAGTGTTGTGGTTACTCCTTTTCGACGATGGAACTAAGCTTAGTCCAGCCTGTGGTCGCAGATTTAGAAATCCCCTTGTGTTTGCTTAATTTACCGGGCCTGAGCATCGTGATTCGTTCTTATAGACTTTTGCCTCTGTATAGCTGGCAGTTTGTAGTAATAATTTCTAGTCGTAATAAACAAAGCTGTCTTGTCAAGATGTCCCGTGAGGGTATTTGGAGCTGTTCTGTCCGTTGGTGCTCCGGACATTCACACAGCCCTCACGATTACTGCACCACCTCCAGGTTTTTCTTCGGGGCTTAAGTTGTGCTGGTCAGCCAAGTTTAACTAATTCATGGAGAAAAATCATCCCCTTGACTACCTATATCGATCATATTTGTGACAATGTCACTATGCTTAAAACAAGCATTGTTGTGTCTTTAGCCATAGCATTAGCTTGTGAGGACGCAAGTCGAGAGATGTTTGCCAACCTTACTCCAAACGCAGGCTCTCAGACCAAGTTATTGAGAAAGGTTTGGTCACTTGGGGTGATAAGGTCAGCTGAGTGCCTGGATGTGACTGTCGTCTCTATCCGGAGTGGCAGTTAAGCACGGCGTGACAATCTTGAACGGCCATATGCGTCAGGGGCGAGATGCTTTGGTCTAACAGCTCGCTTGGTGTTCAACGTTGGCGGTCATTGGGTACCAAACCTGGGTTTATTACAATCAGGTAGATGGGACGATTGCGTCTGTACAATCACTAGTCCGAGACGGTACATGTAAGTCCACAATTCTTTTATAAGTCTCATAAATTCCCACTTAGGGAGATATGTAGTTAGCATCCACCCTGTGATAGCGTGAAGTGATCACTATTACCCGACTGTCAGTAAACTTCAGTTAATGACCCGTCATTGTTGGAATAGGCTGATCAGAAATGGTGAGTTCATCCTCATGAGTTCGGGAAACAACCTGGATGTAAACTACCGGAATGTTCTGGACCAACAACTAAGACAAAGTCGACACAGGCGGTTCACTTTTACGACACATTAAAGTAAGTACCGGTGATGGTGTCGTCAAAAATGGGTTAATGGTGACATCAAAGAGTGTTCATTTAGGAATATTAATTAAACGGCTTGAATTACTTCCAGACTGAACAGGATGTTAACATCAGCCCTACGACTACCTAAGTGTCGACGATGCTAGCGGTTTCAATTTGTTAGAAAAGCTGGATAAGGCATCGCGTAGGACAAAAAGCTGGGTTTCGCCATGTTCCGGTAGTTGCTTCCACTGATAGTCGTGTGTGCTAGATTATACATATTTTAATAAGTGCCGAGCCTCGGTGATACCGTCTACTTCATTTCTACGCCTGACATGCTCACTAAAAGCAGCTATGTAAGCGTGTTGGCGCCTGACATTACAGGCACGTCTTGTCTCACAGATAGCGTCTTGCATTATGAATGATAGTATTTGACACTAAAACTAGCCATAAACAACGTTCTGCATCGGTTGAGGTTGTCACTGTCGCAAATCACGATTAAAATGTTTAAGCGTGCCGGGGATTCTTAACCTGAATAGTTCTTTCAAAGCCATGTCGCATTTCTGACTGCTGGCTTGGGCTTTGTTAAGTGTGCCCTAGGACTTTCCCGTCGTCATAATTATTATCGAGCTTCGCTATGGCCATGCTCGTGTGTCTTCCATCAAATGTTATGGGCTGCGAACTCACCAGCCTTTGAGCCACGCCTTGCTTGGGAGGACCAGTAATGCTGTAGCGGTACTTGTTCCACGCCTATCTATATCTATCCTGCTCTAAGTATGAAACATGATACGTTAGTTATTCTGGTGCTATCTGCACGCTTTGCACACCTTCATACATTTTGTGAGTCCCATTAGTCATACTGTGTATGTGTTTGCGCTTATGTATTAGTAGCATGTTGAATACTTAGTGGCAGACTTTGAAGCCATAAATGGTAAGATAGATTCCCATCTACATGACGGTTGATCAGTAGGTTAGAGTTTTGTCATTGAATCGCACATTGGCCATTAATTGGTCTGCTGGTCCGAAGAAAGCAAACTTAATCATTTCTCAGGATGTCATACATATTATGTGTCTGGTTGGGGTTTGGATATTGTTCCTCTGACCTGCTCTGCAATTTCATCAGTTAACATAACCGGCTCTGGGAAATTGGTTTATGAAGGAAAGTTCTCTAATCGTACACATCTTGAATGAAGATACAAGGAACAAAAAACTAGGAAGTTTAACTTGGTCCCGCCTCATAGCTTGCACAACCAGTTTTTCTCATGCTATTGAATCACAAACCGCATTGATAAACTCGGCTGTTTTGAATGCAGAACAGGTCAGAGAGGTGATACTTAAACCTAACCCAGACACAAGCGTGCCATCTGGCAATAAAGAAATGAACGCCCTAATCACTAGACCGTTGTTCCCCTTTCACTATCTGTCTTTTATAGATTGGCTTCTGTCATTCTTAGTAGGTTTGTTCAAAAACCGAGGAAGATTGACTCGTGAGGAGCAGACTGGATATATCGAAGTACAAAGTTCTTTTACAAGACTGGCAGGATCCTAATCGTGTACTCACCCTGGGTAATGAAGTAGTCGAGAAGTCCGTGTATCTAGGTAGCTGCATAAGTGCTGGTGGCGGCGTAAGTGATTAGACCAATTCATATATGATGAAAGCCAGAACGGCTTATGACAATCTGAGCCATCTTTGGCGCCCTCGTGATGTTAGACTGGCTGTAAAAGGTCGGATCTACAACGCGTCGGTGAGAGCAGTTTTGCTCTATGCTTGTGAAACCTAGTCTCCCCGAGTTGAGCATGTTAGACGACTCTGTGTTCGATCATCGTTGTCTCCGAAGAATTGCTGACATCCAGTGGCAACACCATGTTAGTAATGCAGAGGTTCGGCACCATGTGTTCAGACACAGCGACGATAATTAAATTGGTGTCACTCATAAAACATCTACTTCGGTGGCTTGGACATGTTCTACGAGTGTTGTCCCAGAGAATTCCACGTCGTGCATCATTTGCCGACACTAGGACTGGTTGGAAAAAGGCGGAGAGGTGGTCAGTGTTTAATGTGGTGTCGTGGTATGAAGGAAAGCTGCACATGACTGACTTCTGTTGGTCCTTCACGACTCCCTGGTTGGGATCCTAAAGATCATGCAACACAGTGGCTGGAGACGTTATTAGATATGGCTTAGGTCTCTTCAAGTAAACATTTGCTTGGAGATTGATATGCTTTACTACTTTTCCTGAACAGGCAGAGTAGATTAGTTGAGTATGATCCTCATTCCCTTTAAGTCTCATCGCCTCTGATACTTTCGTTGATGACGGGATTTCGACAAGGACCCAAAAACTCGTTTGATGTTTGCTAAATTCGGATACTTGTTCTCAGAACGTGATGTCCGGCGACTCATCAAATACTAAATGTGCTGCGCAACAATTAACTATTACCTCATATTCAATAGATATGAGGGTTCTTAACATTTGGTTATAGAGGTATTCGAGAGATCAGTTGTGTGTAATGGGACCGCTGAATGACTAATGGTATGGGGTTTAGTGCAATGTAATTAAGTTGACAAATCGATTAATATGACGCAGATGCATTCAACTGTTTGTTTTCTGGATTTTGGGTCGCATTTTCTATTTAGTCTTCGTGGGCTCTATTCTCATTGTTTTTTAATGTCTTTCCCACTGCATTGTTTTGATCTGTTGTTAAATATCCCGTTAATTTCCTCTCATGCTAGTTCAATATGTCATAGAAAAGCTACTCTGAGTGATACGTTTTCATTTAAGCAAGTAATCATGCAGAGTACACACGTTAAGTAATCTTACTACATAGTAACTAGAATGAAGTGGGATTTTCTGGAAATCAACATTCAATTCATACTTCTTACGTGCTTCCGAATCATTACTCGGTATGTTGGGTATAATAATCAGTCAATTATGAAGTCGAGATAAGTACTACTATGAATCCGGTGTTCCTCTTGTTGTGCTAACGAGGTATGGCAACTTGGACCGATGCATATATGTGCCTGGTCCTACGTTGTAGCTGACCTGACCTGACAAATAACTTGTACAGCTGCACCTACAAACGTAGTATTATGTTTGGAACTAAGAATTGGTGGTTTGGCTCAAATTGAGCAACTCATAAAACCAATTGTGATTTAGATCGTTTGTTTTCATTGCGTATACGAGTAAGTAGGTCAAACCATAATCCATGAAGCTTTTTGTTAAATGCTACAGAGATTATTATTTTCTGTTCATATGTGCCTCAGGGTAGCATACTCCAAGACATATATACTCTAATGGCTTTGTTGTTTGTTCTACCAACGAATTTTAGGGTGTTTATCCTTACGACTGCTTAAGGTTCATTTATCATATACCCTTGACCATTCTGATTGCGAATTAAACAAAATGATCGCTCAGTAGTTTACAGTTGTTCTGATACTGAAATTTGATATACTAGGTTGAGCTTATCGTACTGAAGTTAGTTGACGATCTCCAATAGCAGTACAGCAAGAATACTGTGATTGAAATTAAA